CCCCCAATCAAATCCCCCTCCCTCCTCAGCCCAAAGAGCCATCAAGTTCCCTGCCCTGTGGGAAGTCCAAGGACCACCCACCTCCAATCAGTTCTAGTAAGGTGAGCATCCAAACTGCCTAGGCTCCCAACAAGCCAGTCTGTGCAGTAGGATCAAAAACCCATTGCCATTGATCATGAGTTCTCGGTAGTCCTTATTGTCAGCTATGTTCAGCGAGTCCGGTTTTATTCCAGGCTTTTTCAGACCCCTTGGTGAGTCCTCTTTTTCTTTTTAGAGAGAAAGAAAACATAATGTTTAGTGCATATGGAGTTTTGGAATATTTGGAGTGTTTGTGAGGTTATAAAATTGATCAAAACATTGTAGGAAGACATATTTCAATAAAAGATACTAAAAGAAAATAATTCAAATCACTAAATAAAGAAATAGAAGATTTCAGAAAATGGAAATATGTCTCATGCTCATGGACTGATTGGAGTAATATAAAAAAATGATCATCCTTGTTCTTTTTTAAAAAATGCTACAAGATCCCCGCGGCAGTAGGCAGCAGAAATGCTGTAGGTCCCAAATGGTGGTGGCGGGCCACGTGGTGGCAGGCAGTGGGCTCTGGGAGCAGCCAGTCCCAGGCCGGAAGCTGAAGATCAGCTGTCTCTTAAAGGGACCAATACCATAACATTCCCAGGTCTTCCTTATAATAAAAAGCAGATTAGATCTCTTAAAAGGACCAAAACCATAACAATCCTAAATAAAGCAAACAACAGATTCAAATCCCCATCAAAATTCCAACATAATTCTTGTATGTTTTTTTTTTCTTCAGTTCTGGTATTTGGAGACATGGTTTCTCTTTATAACTCCCTTTGTAGACCAGACTGCCTTCAACTCAGAGTTCTGCCTCCCTCTGCTTCCAGAGTAATGTGATTAAAGGCATGCACCACCACTGCCAGGCATCTTCATGGATCAAAAAGGGACAATTTTCAGTTTCATATGAAAGTACACACACACACACACACACACACACACACACACACACACACACACACACCAGGATAGCCAAGACAAACCTGAATAACGAAGAAACTCTGGGATGATGCACTAAACGCTTTAGCAGTAAAAACAGGACAGCATTGGAAAAGCAGACCCAATGATGAATTGTGTACTTACTGGGCTAAAAATCAGCTTCAAAAAAATGAAATATTGGTGGACTTCCTGCTCTAGGGTGTTAACTCCCAAATCAGATGGTTTTGTTGATATGGCATACAGCGAGACAGACTGGACTGGTTTGGAAGCTTCTGAAGACAGAATGAAAGTGTGCTACGGAATTCTATAAGTGACATACATTCTCCAAACGGAGCTGCATCAGTGAACGGACACTGAGAGCATGGTTTGACCATTATGATTCAATGTCTGGGAAACATTTGTTTATTTATGCAAAAATGTAATAATTTATTAGAAAAAATCCTCACAAATGACCACAAAAGACAGCTTTTCCTTACATTGTATGGAATGCCTTTCCCTAAGTCCCACATCCTATTCTGTAGTTGTAATTCTAGCTGAATCCTTGCCTGATTATCAGGCAGGGCTGGTGTTCTAACCCAATCATGACCCACAATTTCCATATCTCAACTTCTCAGCCACTCCTTATGCAAATGCTACGGTTTTGGCTCACATTTTACACATAAGAAACCAGGACATGACTAAAATTCCAGGTCTGAAATAGGGTGTCCACAATCAGCTCAGGGATGCTCAGGAATGGTTTCATGCAATCGAGCTTTGCTTAGTAGTTATTTTAGACACACAAATCAGCTTAAAGAGTACTTATTAATGTAAACTTTGTTTAGAAGACAAAAAAGTTTATTTCCTCAAAAGTTGAGAAAAACTCCAATAAGTTTTTTGGTTTGTTTGTTTTCGAAACCAAGTCTTTCTATAGCTATAGAGCCTGTCCTGGAACTAGCTCTTTTAGACTAGGCTGGCGGTGGTGGCACACACCTTTAATCCCAGCATTTGGGAGGCAGAGGCAGGCGGATCTCTGTATTTGAGGCCAGCCTGGTCTACAGTGCTGGAACTCCAGGACAGCCAAGGTTACATAGAGAAACCCTGTTAAAAAATGAAAAAGGCACAGAGAACCCCTGTCTGGAAAAACCAACCCCCCTCCCAAAACAAAGCCCTCAGTAGGCGGGTTTAGAGGGAATACGTAGCCGGAAGTGGTTGTAGTGGGCGGGGCCAGGAAGAATGGCTTGGGAGAACCAGGCTGAAGTGACCAGAAATCTCTCTAGTCCCTTTTGCACTCAGGGAGCCGCGTCGTCTGGTACCTGGTGAGGAAGACCCCGCTGTGTGTTCGGGGACCTGAAAACTTCCCGGAGCCGCAGCCTCCACATCGGGCGGCCTGGGAAAGCCAGCAGCGCAGTGGCGGGAACCGCAGCCCGGCGGCCCTGGAACCTCCCAGGTCAGAGGAGCTGCGGGGCTGAGACCCAGCAGGGAAGGGATGGGGCTGTGCTCGCTGAGGCTGCTCAGGACGCCGTCAGCTCCCGTAGTCCTGCCCGTGGCCCTGGCGGGGGCGGCGGCAGCTCACTTCTTCACCTGCAGCCAGGTGCTTTCTTATGCGCCACGCGCACCCCTGAAACTTGTTCATCCGTCCGTTATCGTTCTCGCTCTCGCTCCTCGCAGGCTCTCTTACCTGGTCTCTGTCTGCCTTGGCTCTATTGCTCATCGTCCTCCCTCAGCGTGTTCTCTTAGCTGCTACCCTGGCCTACCGCCAATGATACCCGGTTTTCCACTTCTTTAGCCTTATAGAGACTGCTTTCAATATTATGTTGTTTGTGTCTTGGTATGCTGTGTTTTTTTTTTTAAGATTTATTTATTTATTATGTATACAACATTCTGCCTTGATGTATGCCCACACGCGAGAGGAGGGCGCCAGATCTTAGTACAGATGGTTGTGAGCCACCATGTGGTTGCTGGGAATTGAACTCAGGACCTCTGGAAGAGCAGCCAGTGCTCTTGACCTCTGAGCCATCTCTCCAGCCCCAGGCCACACTATTTTATAGTTAGCAAATGCACGTTAAACAATATTATAAATCTTCTTTTAAGTATTTATGATCACTCACCTGTATCAGAAACATGTCCCTTTTGTTGAGGAAAAGCACTCTGCCTAAGTACACGTGACCAACTTTTTTTTTTTTAATTTCAGGATTTGTTGACATTTAGTGCTGTGAATGTGAACTTCTTGTAGGAGTGGAAATGCCTAGACCCTGCTCACGGGACTTTTAGCTGAGATCTCCTGTTAAAGAGCTGCAGCAGTTGGGATTCTGAGGGTAAGAATAGTTTTCTTGCAATCTCCCTTGCTTCTGCTCCGGGTTCTTGGGAAAACTACTCTGGATGTGTGGGATCTGTGTGTGAATGAGTCTCACATCTCACAGAGTAAACTGAAATACAAGGAGAAAGAGACATAAGAGACATTTTCATTTATTTATTTATCTATTTTTGTTGTTAGTTAGTTGGGTTTTCTTTTTTTATTTTTAGATTTATTTATTTATTATGTATATACAGTATTGTCAGTATTCTGTCTGCATGTGTGCCTGCAGGCCAGAAGAGGGCACCAGATCTCCTTACGGATGGTTGTGAGCCACCACGTGGTTGCTGGGAATTGAAATCAGGACCTTTGGAAGAACAGGCAGTGCTCTTAACCACTGAGCCATTTCTCTAGCTCCCCGTTAGTTGGTTTTTCGAGACAGGGTTTCTCTGTAGCTTTGGAGCCCGTCCTGGAACTTGCTCTTGTAGACCAGGCTGGCCTTGAATTCACAGAGAGATCTCTGCCTCTGCCTCCCCAGTGCTGGGATTAAAGGCGTGCACCACCACCACCCGGCTAGAGATCTTTTTCTTAATATTTTCTCTTTCCTTAATCTTTAGGCAGGTGTTAGCATCTTTACTTTTTGCTCCTTGAAAAGTTCCAGGTGTTTTCTAAAGAATCTCTTTCTCTTGTGCAGCCTCACATTGTTCAGTCAGTCCTGCTCACCTGGGAATCAAAACAAAAAGTTCTGGATGGTGAAGAGAGGAAACAATAGCAAAAGATCCAGGTTTGTTACAGTGATTGAGGAAGGTGTAAAGAGACTAGGAAGGGCTCAAGTGACAGAAAAATAGGACATGAAATTGGTTTTGCCACATTCTGATTAATTCTAAATGATTCTAAAGAATTCCACAGAGATTAATCTCAGGATTTCCTATTGGTAGGTGTTTGAAGATTGTGTATGTAAAAAATTAATACTCAGGCAAATATAATTTTATTTGACTTTGCATGGGAATGATGTCCCTCTTTAACATCTCTGGTTGTGTTTTTATATTAAGTGGTTTCATTAGTTTTTTTTTTTTTTTTTTTTTTTTTT